TCGCTATTCGGAGCAAGAAGCTACTAGGGTGGAGGCCATCGCTACTAGGTTGGAGGCCTTCGCTATTCGGAGCAAGAAGCTACTAGGGTGGAGGCCATCGCTATTAGTTAAGTTTCCCTTAGAACGAACATGTTTGGAAACGTGGCAGGCGATCTATCCAGCTTCCACAGCCGCGACGGTGTGCCTGGGGCAACTGCAGAAATACTCAGAGTTCAAGCATGTTCAAGCACCCCCCCGCCAGGGTTTCCAAAAGGGCGGCAACACATTGATGCAGTGTGCACCACGTAGAGCAGACGTGAATCAGTCAAAATGGACTTGCTACTTAGTAATCTTTCTCCCCCAAGCAAAGAATGCGTGACAAATGAGCGTGTCATTTCAACTGTTCACTTGTTCTTTTATTTTTGACATCGAGAACGATATTTTCAGATTTCGTTGGCTTTTTGGTTTCAACATTTCGTTTGTTCAGTTATTTAATGTTTGGCCCTTCAGGAGCCCAAGGAGACCTGCCTCCAGAGCCCGAAGCAGCTGCTCCAGCCCTCTTGCGACGTGCTTTGTCCTGTTGAGACACTTGGAAACGACAAAACTGCCTGATCTAGGATGACACTCATAAGCATATATAATATATAAGCATAATCATTAGCAGTTCCGGCTATTTCATCCTGATTGATCTTGAGTGACGAGCGGAAGCTGCTGTTCCAGATTGTAACTTCGAGCTTGAGGGGGTGCTATAATCATGACAGCGTAGGGACACGAAAGTGACCAGTAGGAACAATAAGCTACTAGGAACAAGTGCATCGCTAGTAGTAACTATTCCCAGTGGATCCTTGACGTTTCTCCAGGGACTGGGCACTTCGACCCCAGGCCGAGTGGAGTGAGCGGCGTGACGTTCGGGCACGGGTAGCCGCGCCGTTGATAAAGACCCAGGAGTTTGTGGATGGTTACAGGCCTTCGTCTTTCTTTTGATGGAACCTTCGAAAGCATACCGTTGGTCAGATGATATCACATATCTTTTGTATGGCAGTTTCTAGGTGAGCTGGCAAGCAAAGAACGTAAAAGCATCCACTCAAAGATAAGCTCATTGTGATGGCAGTGCACAGCATTGGGTTAAGTAGCTTAATAGGGTTGCCTTGCAAAATTGGTGAGTCTTTGCAGACTTGGCAACCGTAGATGGCTGGAAGATATTCAACGGACCTTCAATCAGAGTGTTCCTGTCGAAATTGTCAGACACTGAAGCCGTGGCGCCAGATCGAGACCCTTCGATGGTTTGAGGAAAACACCAACTTGCCTAAAGCAGACGCCGACAGCCGCCAATCCTACGATGAGGACGCAGTTGGTGTGGTGTTGGGAAAAAGTTTGGGGTCTCTGTGAAGCTAATTTTGGAACAACATGTCCAGAAGCCGCCTCTTGTGTGCCCGATGCGTATTGTTTTGGCTGGCAATCTTCCTGCATCAACCCCTTTTCTGGCCATGTAAGGAATACCATGAAATACCATGCAGACTTGTACTTTCTGATGATTCCTGCGTTTGGCTTCTAAAACCCGTCTTTGGCCAGGGCATGGCCCTTGCAGTGCGGCGGATCCAGCGTTTGTACATCCACGGGCCGCATCCAGGTGGGCGCTCTCCCCTTCGAATCGGATGCAGGTTTTACTAGCCTTGTCGAATCGCACGATGGACCTTCTCTGCTTGTTGGGGCCTCACAAAATCATCAAAGGACCTGGCCGGACCAACCTTACATCGCCTTACTAGTAGTAACAAGAAGCTACTAGGAACAAGTGCATCGCTTCTAGTAATTAGCCCAGCTGGAGACCCCAATAGCAAGATACAAACCGGGACAAAAAGAAAAATCTGGAAACAGCTGCTGTTTTCAACACATCGACCATCTCTTCCTTGGACACCATCATCACAACCGGGACACCATCACAAAATGGCCAGGGCACCATCAAAACATGACCGAGACACCGTCACAACATGACTGGGACACAATCAAAACATGATCGGGACACCATCAAAACATGACCGCGCCACCATCACATGATCGGGACACCATGAAAACATGACCGGGACACCGTCACAACACGACCGGGACACCATCACAACATGACTGGGTCACAATCAAAACAGGATCGGGACACCATCAAAACATGACCGGGACACCATCAAAACATGACCGGGACACCATCACAACATGACCGGGACACTATCACAACATGACCGGGACACCGTCACATGACCCGGACACCATCAAAACATAACCGGCACACGGCCAAAACATGACCAGGACACCATCACAACAGGACCGGGACACCATCAAAACATGACCGGGACACCGTCACACCACGACCGGGACACCATCAAAACATGACCGGGACACCATCACAACATGACCGGGGCACCATCACATGCCTGGGACACAATCACAACATGACCGGGACACCATCAAAACATGACCGGGACACCATCAAAACAGGACCGGGACACCATCACAACATGACCGCGCCACCATCACATGATCCGGACACCGTCACAACACGACCGGGACACCATCAAAACATGACCGGGACACCATCACAGCATGACCGGGACACAAATCACATGACCGGGACACCATCAAAACATGACCGGGACACCATCAAAACAGGACCGGCACACCATCACAACATGACTGGGACACAATCAAAACATGACCGGGACATCATCAAAACAGGACCGGGACACCATCACATGATCGGGACACCATCAAAACACGACCGGGACACCATCAAAACATGACCGGGACACCATCACAACATGACCGGGACACCATCACATGCCTGGGACACAATCACAACATGACCGGGACACCATCAAAACATGACCGGGACACCATTAAAACAGGACCGGGACACCATCACAACATGACCGCGCCACCATCACATGATCGGGACACCATCACAGCATGACCGGGACACAATCACATGACCGGGACACCATCAAAACATGACCGGGACACCATCACAACATGACCGGGACTCCATCACATGCCTGGGACACAATCACAACATGACCGGGACACCATCAAAACATGACCGGGACACCATCAAAACAGGACCGGGACACCATCACAACATGACCGGGACACCATCACATGCCTGGGACACAATCACAACATGACCGGGACACCATCACAACATGACCGCGCCACCATCACATGACCGGGACACCATCAAAACATGACCGGGGCACCAGCACCACATGACCCGGACGCCATCAAAACATGACCGGGACACCATCCGCCCACCAGCTCTGACGGTGACCCGACGGCGCCCGTCCGCCTATTAGTTTTGCAAGACCCCATAGCATGGCTATTGGGGAACAAGTGCCTTACTAGTAGTAACAAGGACGCTACGAACGTAACACGTGTAGTGCATTACATCGGACGATGGGTTTCTTGACCGTTTCACGGCCCTTCACAGCTTGACAGCTTGACATCAGTCGAGAAGGGTGAGCGACTCACCATTTTGACACATGTTGGCCCTTTGGGACCCTTTTGCTTAGTGAAACATGAGGAACAATGTTCGCTACGTTCAGGGGCTCCTGGCCTTACTAGGAACAAGAAGCGAACGTAGAAACAATAAGTAACTAAAATTTGATTGGACCATGTTGTTTGGGTGTATAGGTCTTGGCATATATGGTCCCTTTCTCTGAGCGACAGGCAAGCGGGTGACCGCCTCCAAACCCGCGAAATCCAGGCCAACGCGTTTGGTGGGGAAACGAAAGGGTGAGGCTTTCACGATGTTTGAACAATCTTTGTTTCTTTCAAGCTGAGACATGGAAAACACAAAAAAGGTTTGAAGGCGTGATGTTGCTGCTTCGCTACTTCCAGGCCTACTGCACTTGGACTTGTAAGTGCGAATGGTGGGCCTGACGGCCCAGATCGAAACGGATCTATGTAGGCAGTGCTTGGACTTAGAGAGGTGGGACGCCTCTTCTCTATGCTTCTTGTGTGTGAAAGATGAGACCTACATGGGTCCCTTTATGCAAAAGACCAAGTAATTTGCAAATGTTTGGCCAGATGCAGTTTGGCCATGTACCTTCCTCTCACATCCTCTTACCATACCCATTCATTTCTTGTAACTCTTGCTTCGTAATGAGAGGTATTCTCAACAGCAAATCAGACTGTGTCATCAAGCCAAAGAGACCCATGCTCAAGAAGGAGGCCTCCATTTCGAGGAATTTCGGACGCTTTCCCAAGCCTGAAGGGCGCGTGAGGAGTCGCACGGGCGTTTGAAAACTCAGGGTGAACGCGTAGGTTGGAGAAATGGTTGTGGATTGGATCCTCCAACTCAAGACGCAGACTTTCCACCGGTCTTTAGCAACGGGACCCTGTAAATCACGCGCCGCATGATTTGACACATCAGGAGCACGGTCACTTGTGCTGCCATTTCCGCCCATGACGAGAGCAGGGTGGACAGTGCAGCTAATGCACTGCTGTGCTTTTTGACTTTAGGTCTTGGCCGGACTTCGTGCATCTGGTGAGCATAGCTAATGATCAACATTGGTAGCGGAGCTTGCCGAGCTCCACGGCAGGCTCGGATCCATCAGCCTCTGGACCCTCACTTCTTCGGCTGGAGGACTTTTCGAGACGACCAAGGACACCTACATCCCGGTCTTCAACAACCTACAGGGCTACAGAGGGTTGACCTTGACGTTGCAAGGCGAGGAGAAGGAAGCAGTGATCAACCTTCTCACCAGCCTCCAAGGAACGGCGTGGAGGGAAGTGGAGCATATGGTCGGCTCCGTGACCGAGAGCTCCGATGGCCGCATGTGGCTACGATGCTCCGCGCTCTGGACAAATTCTTCTACGACGCTGCTGTCTTGTTGCTCGGAACGCCGAGAGCTCTTGAGGGAGATTGAAAAGAATGGCATCAAGATCCCGGACGGTGTGAGTGGATAGATGCTTCTCCGTCGAAGCAATCTCACACAAGACGGGCAGAAACACCTGGTGGCCTTGACTTCAAAGCCAAAGCTGAGGGTTCCCTGAAATGGAAGTCTCAAAAAAGGACAAGACCGGTTGTATCCCTGCAAAGCTTTGCATGACTGGGGCCATTGTCCACGGAGATGAGGAGTTGTGTGAGGATGACCCAAGTAATGGAGAGCATGAGGAATGTAAGTGGCCCATCCCAGATACTTGAAAGCTCCCCGCGGTTCCTACATATAATATGTACGTACTGGACGGCCCAATGGATATTACGATGTTCATTGCCTTCTTCATGTACCTCCCAGAGGCCAGTGACCAAAGGGAAGAAAGGACAAACTCTTCCACCGACGATGAGGGCCTTAATGCGCGTTTGGCTGAGTTCCCGTCATGCTCTTGGCCTTCGCGCCAGAATCTATGCAACTCGTGTGAAGGACTCTGCTGGCAACTCACTTGCGCAGAGTGGCACGCTGAGCGCTATGCTTGGCATTGGGGGCGTTGAGCTGAATGGATCGTGAAGCTTCCAACCTATGTCAAGCGGCCAGGCAGCGTTCAGGCCTTGAATGCTTCCACGCTCGGCGCTGAAGATCAAGATGGACAACCTTTGACATCAGCAAGAGCACTTGCTGCGCCTTGCTGACGGTGTGCTTCTTGACCCGGGAGGCCATGACCTTCTGTTTGATTTGGCCACCGCTGCTACTACTGTACTGGTCAAGCGCCCTTGATATTTGCCTCCAGGCCGATGAGGAAGAGAACAACCATGACGATGTCGCGAACGATGACTGCGTCCGAATCCGCATCCACAACGATGAAGAGGTTGCCGCTGTCAGAAAGAAGACTGACAAACAAACTGATGAAAGATTCAGCTCCACCATGCCACAAAGATGGCCCATCGCCAGGCTCCCACTGCCGCTGAGATGCAGCGCTGGGGCTATGTCGTGCAGTGCTTCGACTCCGACTACAACGCTGCCTGGGATTTTGATGTTCCTGCTCGTCGACATGCAGAATGTTGAGGCTTGCAGAGCTGCCGCGCCTGCTGGGGTGACTTGTTGGTCGAGCGGAACTTCTGGCGACCTTTTCGACACGCCAGCATTTCGCCACCTTGTCCTGCCATTTCCGCCCATGACGAGAGCAAGGTGGACAGTGCAGAAAGTGCACTGCTGTGCTTTTCGATTTTTGTCTTGGCCGGATTTCGTGCGCCGACATCTGGTGAGCATAGCTATCAATACATGCAGAAAGAGAAAGAGTGGAACTGCTCCATAACAAAGTCCCCACAGGTCACTGCAGACACTCGGTTCATTTTTCCGTTTGATGCATCAACGACAAGTGCCTTGTCAGAAGGCCTGTCCTTGGTTGTTGTTTGAGCTGATTGACGCGTCGCGTGTTAAGCCGCGGTCAGGTGGCTTTGAGATTGAGCCCGTAATGTGATAGTCTGTAAGCGTGAAACTTCACGGGGACGGTTGTGCCTCGACCTATCACACGCCCTTTGATCATTCTGGCTCCAGGATTTGGATGAGAACTGTCCACAAGGAAAATTACTGATTCAAGCGAATTCAATTCATGCAGCTCCGAAACTTTCCCAACGCCAAGAGCCGCTAGGCATCGCAAGGTGATGAATTCCACCGGTCCGACAATCTTCCCAAGCTGAAGAGGTTGGCCCGTTCACCGATGGATGTGGAATTGCCTGAGATCCCTGTGTGCGCACCCGGAGTCCGGGGCAATCGGAGGGCGGCGTTGATGCGGGTTGGGTATGGAAAGTGGATCAAAGGCGCAGGTGTCGCAGGTGTTTTTTCTAGACTCTTGCTGGAACTCATGGCAAGGCCAGCTGAAAATTGTGTTCCTGTTTGAAGCCTTTCATTCTCCAAGTGAGTTTTGAGCGGATTCGGAAAATGCCTCGATCCAAACGGATGATCTGATTTGGTCTTCAATGGAACCGTGACCATTTGTGCAAGTGGTTTGTTGGCCAAGTGTGAAGGGTTTGTTTGGTGCGTGTTCTGTGCAAAGCGCTTGTTTTTCACATCACTGCAATGTAACTGTAACGGTTTGGTAGGGGAACATTCATTTTTTGAGATCTGGATTGCCTCACATGACAGGAAGCTGATTAGCGTCTTCAGGGATGCAAATGATGCCGCTCAGCTCCGTGATTTCAGTTTCTGTGTTTTTTTTACTTTTATTTGTAACACAAGCAGATTACAACATGTGCACAGTGCCACGTTTTTGCGCGGAGCAGAAAAGTCGTCAGGAAATCCGCGTGAAGGAGGACACACTTCGAGAGGTTCTGAGGTCACTTGGCAATTGCAGGGTACTTGAGCCATCGGGGCGCCAATCGGAATTTCCTCAACAGCAAAGTTCTCATGGATTCAAGCTGGTGTCAAGATTCACTTGGATTTCGAACAGTAAATTGCTGCCTTCAAACCAATCATCAAGAAAACATCCAGCATGTTTGATTATTGTCTCAATGCCAGATGTGCCATGCACAGAGCCTGTTTGTGTTGGTCATATCCCACAATCGCTGTTTTGGTGATAGCACAGGACCTTGCTACTGCAGGTGCTCGGACTAAGCAGCATCCCAAGTCATGACACCCTGTGGCAATCAAAGCACATCTTTTCCACGCCAGTCGCTTTCGGAGCTACAGCTCGACCGTCGGCACGCAGGCAGACTTCCGTATGTGGGGCCAAAAATGGGTGTTGTACCAAGGAGTGGGGTCGTGAAAAAATAAAACCGTACAAACCTTGTGTCGATTGAAGAGTCTATTGTCCTCATTTGGTCATTTGTATTCACTCGTACTCTTGGTGAAACTCTATCCAGAAATTCTCACAGACTACCCCTGCGTCCTTGAGTCCCAAGAAATTGCAGCTAGGTGGGCTGTGTGTGAGCCGTGTCGGCCTCGTCGAAACTGCTCAAGCATCTTCTTTTAGCCCGCTCCCCCTCTCCCTACTTGACTATATAAGTAGGCGCCTACTTAATTAAGTAAGGAGAAGCTAGTAGCTTAAGCAGCCACTAGCATGGACGCAGGATAGCTCAGCTCACGCTTCCTTGAAGAAGCGCTCGCACTATTCATTTGATTCCTCGATTTCTAGGGAAGCTTAAGTATGTAGGGTTGATGCTGCCATCCTCCTGTCAACCCTTTTGAGCAGGTTCTTGAGGTCCTCCGCAACGAGTTTGTGGAGGAGGCGATTTTATCTTTTTTTCGATTCTAATGGCGATGGCCTCCAACCTAATAGCGATGGCCTCCAATACATGTAAACAACTGCACAGATTTTTCTCTGAATCCGAAGCCTGTTTTGAATGGCTCCATCACTGCGATCACTACATAGCCCCACTGCAATTTGGTTCAAGATAGACCTCAACAATTCGGACCACAGATTAGCTCGAATGTGTGAAGAGCATTTGGCTCCTTTGTTTCTTGCTCTCTTTATTATCTTTGCTATGATTTCAGAAGTTCTTTTTTGCTGTGTGACTCAAGGTCACGACCTTGAGGAATAGAATGGCAGATGCTCAAAGCCAGCTCTCCAAGGTGCTGAAGCTCAGCCTTTCTGGTTGAGGTTCTCTCCCAATATTTTATCTGTACATTTTGTTATTCTATTGGTTGCTCTACCCCTTTCTTAGATCTTTAGACCGGACATGACTGGGCCATTATTTTCTACTGCAGTACTATTTCTATCATTCATTTGTTGAGTTTTAATTATTTACCCGCTCCCTCTCTCTCTACCAATCTGGAAACAAACTGCAGTTTGGTCCTCTAGACATTATGACGTGTTGTGGATCGTGAGATAAAGGTCATGTGCTGCCCCTCGACACTTTCTGGAGGCTATTTTGAGGGTGAAATGGACTTTCAGTGTGAATCTTGAGATTGATTTCTTTCCAAACGCATTTCTTTGGGCCGCTTGATGATGATCTTCAGGACTTCCAAGCTTCATTTGCCTCAAAGGAAGCTTTGAAAGACCTGGAGGACCTCAGTACTTCAGCGTTTTACATCATGGAACTTCTACAGTACCTGCTTTGCGACCAAAGAGTCCTGGGGGGTCCTGGAATTCCATGGCTTATCTAACTCGTGCACTTTGTTTGTTGGAAGATCAACACGTCGTTCGACACCCGATAAGACATTTTAAATTAGCTTCTTGCTCCTAGTAGTAAGGCCAGGAGCCCCGTTCGTAGCGTCCTTGCTCCGTTCGTAGCGATGCCAGGAGCCTCTAGTAGCGAACATATGCTTCTTGTTAAGCTGAAGCCAGAGCAAGCCGAATGTCACCAAGCAGCCCGTTGTGACAGGCTTTGCTTCGAAGGACGGAGAATGAGATGGGACACCTGCAGAAGCAGCTCAGGAGCAATGATGCAAGGCCAGAACTCAGAACTGTGGGCAACGAATGGCCCATCAGGTCTCGCATCGGTTGCTCAGTAAGTCACTGTATGAAGGATGTTTGTAGATGTCTGTCCTTCAATTCAAGGACTGCCAACTTACGTGCGAAGATGATATGTTTGCGAAGGTCCTTCAGCTCTCTCCTCCTTCCCTTTGAAAAGACCCACGAAAGAAGTGGTTTGGTCCCACAGTCTGGCAGACCTCGCACGAACTTTCTGTACAAACTTTGCTTTCGCGTCTGGACTGGATTCGAAACCTTTTGTCCTGTGTCGGACTCTTTGGTGAGGTCCACGGTCCGTGTGCTTCGCTCTTGGTGCTTAACAGTCGAATGCCAGGATGAAGCAGGTCACCTCCACGTTGTCAGCGGGAAGCCCAGAGGAGCTATTAGGTACTATTAGGTTGGAGGCCATCGCTAGGCCATCGCTATTAGGCTGTAGGCCATCGCTATTTAGGTTGGAGGCCATCGCTATTAGGTTGGAGGCCATCGCTATTTAGGTTGGAGGCCATCGCTATT